GAAAGAATTCAGCTCTATCTGTGTGTATATATTTGATATCAATGACTCTTTGTTCCTAAACAATTGTGGGCTAATGGTGTAGTCAGTTTAATTTTCTTCTTGATGTTCTTTTGAACCTATAACTGATGTATATCTCATCGAAGTGCTTGTTGGGCCCTGGACTGAAACTGATTATTTTCCCTGGTTCTATGTTAAGGGTACATTCAACATAGAAAGAACCTTCAAAAAGCAGAGGGGGCGAAGGAAGATTGGGAAGGAGAAGGCATATAGCTTTATAGCGGAGGCTTATATACCAAAACATTTGATGACTGAGTGGATCTCTCTCTCTGCTTTCTCCACCTCCCCACCGGTGGCTCCTTCCTGGCTGCTGTGAGCCCATGACTGGCCCCTGTCCAAAGCCCCCTGCCCAGGGGCTACTGTTTTTAACAAGGCAAACTTCATAACTGCAAAATATTCCTTAGCCACGGATAATTCAGAGCAACTTGTACATGGTGAGCACTGTGCATGGTAAAGGGAGTGTGCAGTCAGAGAACTGGTATCGGACATACCATTAACTCTGTGTGTGTGTGTGTGTTTGTGTGTGTGTGATCATTTTCTCCCGAGAAAGTATAAGTGTGGGGTTGATGGTTCTCAGCCCTCCACCTCTTTTCAAGGTTGTGGTCATGTGTATGTTCTAATAAATTTTGAACTTTTTTTAAAAAAATAGTATAGCCCTGTGCACTAGTATAGTCGGTCTAGTTAAATTGTGCTTTACTACAGAGGAAGATAACACATTGTTTGTGGTTAAAAATAATTTTCAAACTACACAGAGAGTCAGAAGTAACACATGTAAATCAGCGAGCAGTATCCAACCTAAGTTAATACTACATTGGGGACACCATGTAACCTCACAGCTTGCTAACACGAGGCCTGATAAATCACTCATTTACAGAACCTTGCCTGTTGGAAACGTGCTTGAGACCCAGTGTGAGTGATGATAGCAAGTCTTTTGTGGTTGAGAGTATTATACATGTCCCCATGTCCCCCACTTTACCCCCCTCCACCCAGCCCCTGCCCCACCCCAGGCCTCCACCACACTATTGTCTGTGTCCATGGGCTATACAGATAGGGTGTCCCCCCAAAATGTATGCCCACTTTGAATGATTATACAGTCAGTGTTTATTAACATATGATTCATTTTCAAAATTTAAAAGAATCTACAGAAATGAATAATTTGTTTTGTCAATGGCCTGCTTTCAAACTGATGACTGTTCTGGTCCAGGCACTGTTGATAACACAAAGCAATGGAATCACAAACAATCAGGAATCATTTCATTCGGTATTTGTGCTCTCTCAATTCGTCAACTGTTGCGGGTTTTGTACCATAAACTTTATCTTTTATGTATCCCCATAAAAAATTCTAGTGGATAAATTTTCTTTGTTCAAAGCTTAGTCTGACTTCACCCATTATTTCAAATCAGTTAAACCTGAAAAGGAGTGAAAATTAAATGAGTTATTAGCTGTCAGAGTGTGTTTACATTTTGGGAGGTACCCTGTGTGCCCCCAAAATGTGTACACGCTTTGAATAATTATAAAGGCAGTGTTTGCATTTCAACTGTGTTTTCACACTTCCAGTAGCATTTTAGGAAGAATTTCCTTTGTTCAAAGCTTAGTCTGTCTGAAAAGAAAGAAACACCAATTGAGCTATCAGTTATTAAAGTGTGTACACATGTTTTTGGGACACCCTGCATATGCATATAAGTTCTTCGGTTAATCTCTTCATACTAAGTCTTAATTGACAAAAGCTGGCATCTATACTGGCTGAAGGAATAAAATGTTAAAATTTTCAAGTTGTTAGGGAACTTTAAAGATTACCCAGTCTCCAAAAAATGTCAAATGGCTTATTTTTTAATGCTTTTTCATCATAGTTAAAATGGTGTGTGTGTGTGTGTGTGTGTGTGTGTGTGAGTGTGAGAGAGAGAGAGAGAGAGAGAGAGAGAGAGAGAGAGAGAACGAACTTGAAGGCAACTGGGTTAATTTAAGTAGGAGTTTGGATTTTGTTAGCCGGAAAGAAACACAGAAGTTTTGCGTAGCCTGTCATCTGTTGTCAGAACCAGCTTTCCTTTGCTGGAGGCTGTAGGGCCGTCCGCCCTGGTGTGCTCCTGCGGTCACAAGGGAAACTGGACAGGTGGGCCTTTATCGGCCCCATTGCATCTGCGTTAGGACTTGGTGCCTGAGCCAAGGTGCAAGTACACTGCCTGGGCTTCGAGCCATGTAGGTGGACCCGGTATTGGATCCCAGGGAGGAGGAATCTTGCGAAGTGGGGTAATCTTAGTGGAGTATCTTTGTTGGAGGGCCCGTGGCCTCAGAGCTTCTGGCTTCAGGGCCCTGGTGAGTGTGGAGGTCGGAATGCTAAGTGCTTCACAGGAATACACTAATTTATTAATGAGGTTATTGCTGATTAATGGCAATTAATTATTGCTGATTAATGGGAATTAATATCATTAAAAATTGATAATGTGAGCAATGGTGAACTTCATGAGGGCAGTGGAGAGTCTCCGACTTACCAACATATCATCAGCTTATAATACCGTGCTTTTGAAGTGGTGCCCCTGTCTGGGACTTCTCATCTCAGCTACTGTTTCTGCAGCTGGGCCTTCCTCCCCACCCACTCTCCTGCTCACTGCCAGGACCTGGACGGTGCCAGGCGTCAGGGCCTGGGCGCTGTGGCTGTCTGGTGAGAACTGGGCCTTCAGCCTGTTCCTTAAGTCCGGGAGCCCTGCCAGACTGGCTCTGCTTCTGGGGCTGTCACTTGCCACAGGAAGTAGGGAAGTCCCTTGTCTGTGTTCCCACTGCTCGAGGTCTGGGTGAGGACTCAGATCCTTGGGGGTTTGATTCTGGAGTGCACGATACTTAGGGGAAACACATCACTTTGACTTTATTTTTCACCTTAAGGATATGCACCCCAAAATAAAACAGACAACTCTGAAACCGAATAAATCACCCCACCCCAGCCTATAACTTAGATATTGGCACAGCCTGGGAACCTAATTAATTATAGCATATCTGTGGGAAATGCATCTGAGTCCTAAATACTGGCATTATAAATGAAGGTTTGTAACACATGCACAACTTATTAACAGGGTTGCAATGAGTAATTAATTGCCATTGAGTGAGGAATCAGCCCATTAATAAATTAGTGTATTCCTGTAAAGCACTTAGCACAGTCCATGACATATAGTGCCCTTCAGGAAATGCTAGTTGCTGCTATTACCACCAGCAGTAGTAGCATTTTTAGGATAGAAAGCTATACTTGCTATACTTACGCTCCTATGGATGGGGTTTTTTTTTTTTAATGGACCACACAGTGAAGGCTGCGATCGATTCCAAACAGATGGGAGATGAGTATTAATACTCCGGATAGAATACTTGGAAATGCTGGGAATAATGACAGACACCCAAAAGGTATGACGGGCCTGTCACAAATAAATTTACACTTTGGTTGGAGACATAATACCAACCATCCTGAACCAATAGCAGTGAGATGACCGGCGGTGTCTCTGACCACAACTGGAATAGAAGTGTGTTCATTTGCTCACCCATCGAATTAGCAAACGTGTCTCGAGCACTCAGCATGTGCCAGGCGTGGTGCTGTTCAGAAAAGAGATCCTGGTAGTAGATACTCGTGAAGAGGGAGGCTTCAGAGTGCAGGGGGCATTTTTACATAGAAAGACAAGAAGTGAATGGTAAGTCCTGACTGGAGCAGCAGGAGCAAGACAGTTTTAGAATTGGGGCAGAATGCCCTGCAGTCACAGCGAGGAAATTGTTCTGTCTTCACTTCTTAGCCTTGAGGAGCATTGTAAAAATAAGCGAAACCCCTTCGGACCTTTTGATCCCCGATTGCAGGCTCTGTGGAGCTAATTCACCAGCCTGCTGATAAGAGTGTGTGTCCTCCTGGTCTGTGGATGAAACAGCTTAAACCAGGCGCTGGGTTCTGAGTGCACTCTGACCCCACCCAACGGGGACACAGAGGGATCAGAAGACATGGCCCTTGTTCTCAAGGACACAAGCCAGTGCCCTTGGTGAACATCTCATATGGCTCAGGGCCTTGAAATTGGAAGTGGCTATTTATAGAAGTGACCTAGGGTGCCTACAGGGCAAAAGTAGGTTTACAGTTGTTCGTATGGAAAAGAACACAGTGCTTAATAAAAAATACAAGAGTAAACTGTTTCACATGCTCATAACTGTAAACCTACTTTTGCCCTGCCCTATATTGCTGTTTTTCTTCATCATTTTCCTCCTCTTCTGCCTGGACGTTCTTTTGTGCCGGTTTTCATCCTTAGAGGTTAAATTTTAATTCTGCAATCACATGATCCTTCCCACGCTTGTGTTTTCCTTGCGTTGTTTACATAGTGGCTTTCTAGTCTATGCCACTAAAGGAATAAAGTCCAGTCAGCCTCTGGGGATGGTCTTGAACAGATGTTACAAAGTTTAATGCGAGCGACCAAATTCTCTGCTTGACTCTATCACTGCATTTTTGTTTTTATAGATTTTTCTCCTGCATCTTTTCTGCATGAACCATGGTGCTGCCCTGTCCTCTCCCCCGTACACAGATGTTAATTTGGAAAAATTATTTAAAGGGCCAAAGGAATTTAATGAGTTCTTTTGTGAGCCATTCATCTGTGTTACAAAAGAGAGGCAACATCATCTCCAAATCACACAGATATACCATTAACGCTAGATATGTTTAGACAGCTTTTTCATTATCTCCTTATCAGCATTCTTTTTCCTCCCCTGTAGAATAATTTAGCAGTTTATATCCCCTTTTAAGCAACATTCTTCTAATTTACCAAAATACATTGTATGCAGCAGACTTTGATAAAAATCTGTGTGGACCGGAAAACGTTCCCTTGATGGCGGGGAGGGCTGTGTGTGTGTGTGTGTGTGTGTGTGTGTGTGTGAATTCTCAACAGCCCCAGTGATGCCTGGCAGCCTTCAAAGCCTTTGGTCTCTCATTTCAGCCACAATTACAAGTTCATCCGAAAATGATGACCGGAGTGGCTCCAGTTTGGAATGGAATAAGGACGGAAGCCTAAGGTTAGGGGTGCAGAAGGGCGTGCTTCATGATCGGAGGGCAGATAATTGTTCCCCAGTGGCGGAAGAGGAGCCCGCTGGGTCGGCGGAGAGCGTGCTGCCCACAGCCGAAGGCCCCGGTGGAGATGGTCCAGTCCCTTACTCTCAGAGCTCCAGCTCGCTAATAATGCCACGGCCCAACTCAGTTGCAGGTAAGGCCACGCTTCTCCTTAGAAGGGTTATCTTCTGGGCCTGAGGTGCCCGTGTTCACTCTCTTCACTTGGGAATCTAATCCAGACGCCAGCCGGCTTTGTGATCCGGGGTCAGGCACCTAACCTTTGCTAGACCTCAGTTGACCCCTGCGGAAACATGATCAGGCTCTACCGGATGGTCTTTAAGGGATCCTACTGCTCTGGATGTCCCCAGAAAAGTATGCTCACTTTAACAGCTGGTAGTTCAATTTTGAAAATGAGATGTGTTTTTAATAAACACTGCCTTTATAATTATTCAAAGTGTGTATGTACATTTTTTGGGAGGAAACCCTATATTTAGACTCTCTTCCCTTTCAAAGAGCCATAAAGTACCAAAAATTCTGTCCTTGTTTTTGTTATTTTAAGCCTGAGTATAAATTCATGACTTTGTATTACATCTTGGTAAACAGGAATCATACTTCAGAGTGAGTTTGTTAATATCAGCGCAAAGAATTTCCAATCCAACTTTCAAACTTAGCCTTTACCATTGAGGCCCATCATACAGATGGAAGGTCAACTTCTGTGTAATTGTTATAAGGGATCTCACAGCTTAAAACATGAGCAGCGGAAGTGAGAGGTCTCGGTCGAGGAAATGAAAGCAGGCACCATGGGGCAGCCGGAGCTAAGAAGGCGATACAAGAGTGGTGACTTGCTACACGACTGGCCAGTGGGTGGTTGCAAGCGAGGAGAGAAGGTTGGGGGTTGGGGTGGGGGGAGGAACTCTGCAGCTGAGCTGTGACATGCCTGCTTTCATGTCCTGAGTTTCTAAACTCAGTGCCCTTGGGTTGAACCTAGAAGAGGAACTTGTTTCAGTCATTCTTTGTTACCAACACAATGCTTAAAATTTTTCCTCTGCTAATGTGTGGACCCAGGTCCTCCCTTCCTACATCAAAGGCTTTTCCTGTGATTTTTACTGCTCCTTCAGGATGTGGCAGGTCACTCTGGTTGTTGTTGGATGCTTTGTTGTGTTTTTTTGTGGGTTTTTTTTTTTTACAGTGAAACTCTGAAACAGCTTGAGAAATAAATTGCCCTAATGGAAAAGTTCCGAGACACAACTCTAATTTGCTTTCAAAGGACATAAAATGGCCTTATTCCAGGAGAGAGGCTTGGCGTGTCTGCCAGAGAGTGGTACTGAGGGTTTATGCGTATTTGAGTGATGGTTCTTCCAAAAGCTTTCGTGTCCTCCCACCGCCATCCTGCTGCCTATGGTGTAACATGTTGTCCCCCAGGCATTTTAGACCGGATTTACTTCGTTATGATAAATGCTTCATTTGTGTTATCCCAGAACTTGATGGTTTTATTGACTTCAACAAAATAGCAAACTTGTATTCAGTTTCATGGAGCTATTTTAAAATTAAGAGAAACATTAATAAATTAAGTCGACAGTGTTAAAAGCCCCCGTTTGGGGTGATGTGCCTGCTTGATGTTCTTTTATGGGCTCTCCCGCCCTGTGAAGTGACAGTGGGTGTGAGCTGAGCTTTTCCAGGCGTCGGCAGTGATTACAGAGCAGGGCTGTCTGGTTGCTGCTGTGTTCATTCATTAGCCTCTACGTATGCACTTGAGCAAGACCTCCTGTGGACCTGGGAGGGTTTTGCACTCTGGGTTTGAGCAGTGACTGCCTGGCCTAATGGGTCTGCTCGTTCTGCATTGTACATTTTATAAACTGAAAGCATATTTTTTAAAGGAAATAGGCAAGTGCCTTCCAGCATAGTATCTGTTGACAAGCTGGGCATCTGGTAGATTTTTTCATTGCCCACCCTCCTACCCCTAAAGCTGAACCTCAGTTAAGAGGGAATGGCAGGATCTTTCGGGTATTGTTGAAAAGAACAGAAGATTCCGGTGGTCTGTACTATATGCAGCACTGTTTGTCTAGTGATTAGAAGGCAAGCTGCTACAATTAAACAGGGACTAGGCAATACTCCGTGTTTGAAGGGTGACAGTAATACATAAGGGACCCTATACTGCAATCTTGAGGAAGTATTTGCATGTAAGATCCATATAAACATAAATTCCATTTGCTAGGAAACATCCAGTGATTGAATGTGATGTATGCAGAGTAAGGACCGGCGGGTGGAGGAAGGGAGATGCTGACCTCAAGGCACCCGGTCCCCCCGGGGAGCACGGGTATGGAAACAGATGCCTCAGGATGCCAGCTCTTCTTGTCGTTGGGCAAAGCACTGTGGTGGTCTGTTCACCGTTAACCATACAGCACAGTAAAATTTTTATGTCCAGGGTTATAAAAACAAGTTGGCTAGGTTTGGAGATGGTTTCACTACACAGAGATTGTCTTTGTAAACGGTTTGTTGGCGTGGAATTGGTTTGCAATCCTGCAGTCAGGTTATTACTGTATATCACATCAGATGTATGGCACGGACACCTTACTCCTTTATTAAAACACAGAATGAGAAGCCTTTAAGATGCTTTCTTAGATCATTTAGAAGTTGGGTAATTAGGGGCTACTATTTTTTTACTACTTTTTTACCCCCCTTTTGAAATAATTCCTAGGTGGATCAGAGAACACTGTTTAGTTTTCAAGGAAACCAACAAACAGCATTACCAGCCAATTTTCTTAAAACTCGAACTGATAATGGCCTGGATTTAATGGCATTTACCTTTGATAGGTTAGTCCAGTGGTTGGCAAACTGCGGCTCTTTGGCCCCTTGAGTGTGGCTCTTCCACAAAGTACCGACTTCTGCGCATGGGCTGCGAAGTTTCAATCGTACTGTACATGCACGCCCACACGTGGTATTATGTGGAAGAGCCACACTCAAGGGGCCAAAGAGCCGAATGTGGCTCGCGAGCCGCAGTTTGCCGACCACTGGGTTAGTCCATGATGTTTCAACAGACGCTTCTCCTTGCTCAGCTTAGATAAGCCTTCCTCTGCTTCTCCTTCCACTCCACCCACCTCACCTCTCTCCACCCCCACCCCAATAAAACCTCTTTCCTGCAGCATCTGCCAGTGTTCTCCTCACCCAGATGTTGGGTGCAGTGTGTGTGCAGTGAGCGTGTAATTAGTTTAATTGTAGAGATATTAGCAGTGGGTTTATTGCAGCATGAAGTTACTGCTTTACCTCTGATTTTTCTCAGCCCCGAACACTGTTTAGGCTTTTGAAAGCATGTAGTGTTAAGTACCAGGAAACGAGTCTGAATCCTGTACTGGTAATGCCCGGGAACCTGTAGGCACGAGTGAGAAGGCAGAGTGGGATCCGCTGGGAGGCCGAGGCGTCCCTACCTCCACCCTCCACCCTCTCTCTCTCTTTGCCTTTGACAACACCTCAGAAAGCGGAGGCAGCCAGCAGCTGGTGGCTTGCAGCCCTGCTGAGGGGTGGTCCGTTTCAATGCAGCTTACTCGTGTTTGAAATAGAGGCCGACAGCGCTGTGGAGTTACGGGGGCCACTTGTTGTGTACTTTGGAGCTGAAACTGTGGCAACTGGAAATCTGAAAACCATTTGAAACTTCATCTCCTGCATGTGTGTCAAACAAGGGCTTCTTTTACAATCCTTTATAGTCTCATATTCGTAATCCTCTAGGCCCCTGGTAGGCAAACTGCGGCTCGCGAGCCACATGCGGCTCTTTGGCCCCTTGAGTGTGGCTCTTCCACAAAATACACGTGTGGGCACACACGTACAGTGCGATTGAAACTTCGTGGCCCATGTGCAGAAGTTGGTATTTTGTGGAAGAGCCGGTATTTTGTAGAAGAGCCACACTCAAGGGGCCAAAGAGCCGCATGTGGCTCGCGAGCCGCAGTTTGCTGACCACTGCTCTAGGTTGTCACAGAACTATAAACCAAATGTCTTTTTTTAAAAAATACATTTTAATTGATTTCAGAGAGGAAGGGAGAGGGAGAGAGAAATGGAAACATCAGTGATGAGAGAGACTCATCGATCGGTTGCCTCCTACACGCCACCCACTGGGGATTGAGCCCACAACCCAGGCATGTGCCCTGATGGGGAATTGAACTGTGACCTCCTGGTTCATAGGTTGATGCTCAATCATTGAGCCACACCGGCCCAGCCGAATGTCATGTTTTAAGGGGTCAGGAAGAAGGGAAGTGGGGCCCTGGCGAGGCTCCCAGCATCTTTGAGCTTGCCAAAGCTGCGGCAGCAGGTCCAACATTTGTGGTTATTCCCATTCGTGAGCTGGCTCATGGGTAACACTGTTGGCTGTCCCTTTGGCCTGGGATGCATGGGGGTCCTCAGGTGAGGCATGCTGAGGAGAGCGCCATTTGCAGAGGCCCAGGTCCCAGGCAGGAGCCTACAAATATGTTCCAAGCTGGATCATCATAGGAAGCCAGGGTGATGGGTGTGGTCCTGGTGGCCCACCACAACCTGGTCAAGAAACTAGAAGCTGCCATTGGGTTCCCGTAACTTAGGTCCATTTGGAGGTTCTGATGAGGAGTTAGCGGCCTCAAACAGGAAGGACTGTGTGAAGCCCTGATGCGAATGTGCTCACGGTGTGTGAACAGTGCAGATGTGCACTGAGACTTGCAGAAGCACAAGTGTCTGCTCTTGTAAAGTCAGTGTCGGGTGTTTCTCCACGGACTGGGAAGGGGAGCAGGGCACACGGGGGCACACTGTCACAGAGCCCAGCCACGGAGCCGGCTGGGTGGTTGTCGAGTGAAGGAGAGGGTGGGGCTGACGCTGAGGAAGGAGAGGACTGAGGCCTCAGAAGGGAAAATCGGAAGGGCCCACATCAGGCAGGTGATGCCAGGGGCATCAGAGCCAGAGGGTACAGCAGAGGGTGGCTCTACCTGACTTCTGTCCCTTGAAGCTTGGTCCTTAGGAGCCTTAGCCCTTGGAATGTAACTCCCCTTTCTCCTCATTAGCCCTCAGATGACATCTGTGTTCTGTTGTCCTGGATGATCATCATATGTCTAAGAACAGCAGGACTTTGTATTGGGCCACTTATTCCACAAACCAAATTAGGTTAATTTTATTTAGATTTCCTTATTGTGACCTAGATATGCAATTAAGAGCTGTTGTTGTTTTTTAAAGACAAAAACAACCACACTGTATATTTGCTTCTAAGATTTGCTGAGGATTAGTAAAATTATTTGCATTAATTGTTTTTATAATCCAACTGTGTCTTTGCTGGAATAGACCCTAAATCCTTTTTAAAGGTACCTATGTGCTGCGAATCTTACAGAGGGAAATGTGATTAGTTCTCTTTAGAATTTTAAAAAGTACATATATATGTAATGTGTCCTATATAATAAAAACCTAATATGCTAAGTGTCGGTTGTCCGGTCAGCCGTTCAACCAATCAAAGCATAATATGCTAATGATATGCTAAAGCTGCTCAACCACTCACTATGACATGCAATGACCACCAGGGGGCAGACAGTTGACCAGTCGCTATGATGTGCACTGACCACCAAGGGGCAGACGCTCCAACTGGTAGGTGAGCTTGCTGCTGGGGTCTGGCCGATTGGGACTGACGAGATGGGCCGGACATGCCCTGGAGCCTTCCCATGGTCCCTCCCTGGCTGGCCAATCTCCCACATCTCTCCCGGCCCCAGTAGTGCACCAGTGGGGTCCCTCAGCCTGGCCTGCGCCCTCTTGCAATCTGGGAACCCTCGGGGGATGTCGGAGAGCTGGTTTCAGCCCAATCCCACAGGCCAGGCTGAGGGACCCCACTGGTGCACATATCTAGTCTATATATATAAAAGCCTAAATGACGGGATGGCCAGCCGGTTGCTATGACATGCACTGACCACCATGGGGCAGAGGCAGACGCTCAATTGCCCCCTGGTGATAGTGTACTCCCACAGTGGGAGCACCGCTCAGCTGACTGATGGGCACCAAACTCCTGGGCTCACCGCTGGCGAGCGCAGTTGCAGCGGCGCAAGCCTCTCCCACAGACACTCCCCCTGCACGCCCGAGCGGCGGCGGCAGCAGCAGGCGTGCAGCGGGGACGGGATGAGCAGGAGCAGCACGGTGCCCAGCCCGGGCTCAGGCTCCTCCCTGGCCACCTGCCACTTCACGCACTACTTTGTGCTGTGCGGGATCGAGGTGGACAGTGGGCTGGAGCCCAATGAGCTGGCGGGTAAGGCTGGGCTGCGGCGGCGCAGAGATCCACTGATCCCCACAGGCCAGGTTGAGGGACCCCTGGTGCACAAATCTGTGCACTGGGCCTCTAGTATTATATAATGTAATATATATATATATATATATATATATATATATATATATATGTATATATTTGTGTGTATGTGTATATATACATACTTTTGAAGCTTAGAAATATGTTTATTTCCAATGAAAGGCTACTTTTACTGCCAGGAGCTGACTTTCGGGTTGCGAGCACTGGGGAATTGTACGGGCAGTCTGCTTGGTTAACGAGGCTGGAATTCTAGCAGCGGCGGAGGTTCTCTGGGCTGCGCTGTGTGTTTGCAGCAAGGACTGGAATTTTGCAGAGTGATACTTGATTGTCAGATGTCTTCATAAAACTTTATGGTGAAATTTGTCACTTTCCAGGAATCATGGAGACTTTTAGCAACCGTATCAACATGACTTCCATTTAAGAATGAGGAGCACTTGGTTTTTTTTGCTTTGTTTTTGTTTTTACCATTTTTTGGGGTAAACATCACTGGAAAAATAAATTGAGTTGGGTGAACAAAATCAAAATCACCTTGAAGTAAATGTTGTTGAACGCCTGAGTGGAATTGTTTAGTAATTTATAATTCTGGTAGCTTGGGTATGATATGAAACTTAACTTTGAAGAGACCAAACTTCCATTTCATGTTACAGCGACGAGTTCAACCAAATTGGAAGATCTGAGCTATTTAGACGGGCAGAGAAATGCTCCTCTTCGGACGTCCATTAGGTTACCGTGGCACAGCACGGCCGGAGGTAGGGCACAGGAAGTCAAAGGTATTTATCCTTACATTGCTGTCCCCGTGGGTAGGAGTTCATCGATGAAACATGGAAAATCCATGATATCCAGCAGTTAAACCACCTGTTTTTAAACATGCGGGGGGCGAGGGGGGGCGCTGTTAAAAGTTTATCTGGAAGGTGTGCTAGGGGGCCTTCCTTAATAATTTTGTACTTTTTAAAATATGATTAACTTCCTTCTGGAGTTGAAAAATAATTCTGCAGCATGTTATTTTGAAGTGAGGGGTAGTTTAACTCCCTCAACTTTTTTTTTTTTGTCATCAACCAAGAATCAACTTTGTTTCACTTTTTTGGGGTGGTATTGGCCACCTCCTATATATACCCATAATGCACAGGTGTGTGGTCAATAGCATGGCCAAAGGGGGCAAAGCACCATGACACCAGGTGAGAGCTGGGGCCCTATCTCTGGGGAAAACGCATTTTCATTTTACTCACACGGCATTGGGAGAAATGTGCCTTAAATATAGTTTGAGCTAAACTGATGAGCCATGGTGTGGCCCTTGGAATCATTTTCTCTAATTCTCTGTGTGTCGGCCTTGAGTCATGAGAATACTTAAGAGGCATAAAAGGACCAGAAAGTCATTTTAAAAGGATACGGTGTAGTGACAATAGTGCATGATCAATGAAGTATTTCAAGAGTATTCATAGGATCAGATTGGAAACACAGATCCCTTTTGGGGTAAAACTGAGACTGTATATACTAAGTGTAACATACATGCAGTGATAAAGTGAGGTGTTTTTCTTAGTGTATAAAATGATGGCATTCTTCTGAAATAATGGTCTTTCTTCTTTTTTCAGCACGATTTGCTCCCTACAAGCCACAAGACATTTTGCTGAAGCCCCTGTTGTTTGAAGTACCGAGCATAACAACAGACTCTGTGTTTGTGGGAAGGGAGTGGCTCTTCCAGCAGATAGAGCAGAACCTGCGGAACACGGAGCTGCCGGAGAACAGAGGGGCGGTGGTGGTGGGAAACGTGGGCTTTGGGAAGACGGCCATCATTTCTAAGTTGGTGGCACTGAGCTGCCACGGAAGCCGCATGAGGCAGATTGCTTCCAACAGCCCCGGCTCGTCACCTAAAAGTATGTCTGTGTCTAACTACTTGTCTAGCTTATTATATTAACGTCAGATAGATGGAGGAAGTTGCTGCTGGGATAGACATAAATTCCCAGTTTCCTCAAGGTTTTCCAGCTGTTCTATCAGGTTTGCGATCGTGTTGTTGGACTGTTTGGGTGTCCGTCTGTCAATCACAGAGCTTGTGTCGCTGTGACCTCTGCAGTGAGGCAGGTCCTCCCTGGTGCCTCCCAACTGCAAAGCATGTCTCCCTCTATATGAGCAGAGATGAGGCCCCACCAAGTGCCTGGGGAATTTTGGGTCCTAAAACCAAGGTGGGTAGGCTCCTGGCAGGACAAGGCAGAAGGAGTTTGTGCAGAGTTCTCTGGTACCCTGTGCTCTGCAGCCTTTGTCTTCCGTGCTGGATTTACAAAAAATGTAAAAGTCAACTTAGAAATGGGATGGAGTAGCCTAAGATATGACTGTGGCTTATTTTATGTGTAATAAACACATGAAAAGAAAATGTCTCTAACATAGTGAACCAGGAACCAAGTGAGCAATGCAAGATTTTTTTAAAAATAAAAAATAATGTAATAAAATAAATGAGAAACCAGTTCTCCAGTGAGGACAACTGGTGGATGGGAGACAGGGCTGAGAGGGGACAGGTGTTCTCATGTGCACCTTTGTTCACTCATCACCTATTGAAGGCTCTCTGTCTCTAATCAAGAAATAAGTTCAGTATCTGATGTTGTAAACGATGGAATTGGTCTCTCTTCTCTGTAGCTTCCGATTCCTCCCCGGATCTTCCATTCACTCCATTGCTTTCACCGAGTACTTCTCCTGGTGGTACCACCACGGCCAGAACGCCTGCTGGGTTGGGCTCTGACGCTCCTGAAAACCAGAGACCGAGAGAGGATGCAGCAAAATATCTCGCATCCAAGGTAATGTGCTCCTGGTCTACGAGAACTTCCAGAGAGAGAGAGAGAGAGTTGAGCTTCTGAAAAATGAATTATAAAAGGGATCTTGAAACGGAGACAGCGATGGCTTAATGCAAAAGTACAGCTTTGGATAAAATTGTGATGGAGTACTGCAAGTGAAAGGTATTAATGAAAATAAATAGCTTCAGACATTGGCAGTGGGCTTGTATTCATCTTAAATGATGGACTGAAAACTCCTCGATCAGCAGGCAGTATTCCTGCACTTCCACAAACCCACCCTTACAGCTGGAAGGAGAGCAGGAGGTTGGGAGCCTGTAACATGACCCCTGAGCCACGGAGCCACCTCTGCCTACGCTCTGTTGCCTGGGGCCCTTGTTCCCGTCTTTCTGTCAGAGATTCCTTGTGATGTTGTAAGAGAGACTTGGCTGACCTTTTCTTCCTACATTCATGGTCGTCAAGATCCTTCTGAATTTTTCCATCTGCTCAGCTTCCATCACGGGCTCATAAGCCACCCTCCTGCGTTAAATCTGTTACATCTCGCTCCTGGTGAGCCGTGTGGGTCTCCCCAGCAGCAGTGGTGTGAGACAGTGGAGCTGGAGAACCACCAGGGGTGGGCGGTGATGAGGGGCTTCTAGTGAGGAAACCCCTGCGGGCTGGGCCGGGAGGTAGGTACAGGGGCTGAAACGAGTGCTTCTCTACCCCAGATCCCTGCTCCTCACTTCTGCATGTCTGGCATGGGCAGCCAAGAGGATTTTTGTCCCCGTGTGTGTGAGAGTGAAAGGGACCACTCCTTCTCCTCTTAGTGCTCAGGCGGGGACCCCCCTCTGTCCCTTCACGGGGTAGGCAGGAATTGGGTGATTTCTGATTTTGTCCCTGTTGAACTTCTCCACAGTGTCACTTGTGGTGTGGATGTGAGGTGATGCTGACAGTCTGCTTCTCCCCCCCCAGGTGGTGGCCTACCACTACTGCCAGGCGGACAACACGTACACGTGCCTGGTGCCCGAGTTCGTGCACAGCATCGCGGCTCTGCTCTGCCGGTCCCATCAGCTGGCCGCCTACAGAGACCTGCTGATCAGGGAGCCCCAGCTGCAGAGCATGCTGAGCCTCCGGTCCTGTGTGCAGGACCCCGTGGCTGCCTTCAAGAGGGGAGTGCTGGAGCCGCTCACAAGCCTGAGAAACGGTACCTCCAGCAGCCCCCCCCCAGAGCCCCCACAGTAGTGGCTCAGAGTCCCCAGGGCTGTCGTCAGAAGGAGGGGTTAGCATGGTCCTGGGGTGGGAGTGAGGTGGCACAGGGAGAGGGTGTGGGTGGATCTACATCCCCTTCCTCAGAGCCATCTCCCCAAAGCCCCTCCCAAACAGTGTAGTTTTATTTAAATCTTTATTGTTGAAGGTATTACATATGTGCCCCCTTTTTCCCCATTGACCCCTTCTAGCCTGCCCCCACCCCTCACCCCAGGCCTTCACCACCCTATTCTGTGTGCATGGGTTATGCATATATGCATGCAAGTTCTTTGGTGGATCTCTTCCCACCCACCCTCAGCCCTGCCTGCTGCAGTCTGTTCTGTGCTGCTATGTCTCTAGATCTATTTTTGTTCATCAATTTATTTTGTTCATTAGATTCCACATCTGAGTGAGATTACGTGATACTCGTCTTCCTCTAACTGGCTTATTTTTGCTTAGCATAATATTCTCCAAATGGTGTCATTTTCAATGAAGCATCTCTAACAAGTAACTCCCCAATGGACACATTTCCAAAGCAGCTAATTTGTACCTGTAGATCATGTAGACGCTCCAGGAACTGTTACCTGCCTGGTTTGCACTCCCGCGTAGCAGGGGATAAGGTCATTATTTAGGGAGATTGCCAGCATGTTTTGTTCAGGGCCTCCCTCTGCTCAGGTGAGTTGAACCTGAAGCATTTCTGGAAGTCTGACCTTGTTGCCCTTGAATATTTTACAAGGTCAGGGGCATTAGTGCTGTTACGGGCCCTTCATTTTTTCATCCTTCCTCCTCCTCATCTTTTGAGCTAGTTTACCTGCCTTCATAGCATTTCTTCCAAAAGGTGCTGGAGAGAGGGAATTGAAGCCGATGTCATAATTTTTCCTCAGTTCCCTGGGCAGAAAGTTGGTGCTGATCAATGGGAAACTAGATGTAGGTTTGTAGGAGCGTGCTCCGTTCTAGGAGTCTATAAAGCAGACCTCCCCCCCACCCCCCCCATCCAGCCCAAGGCGAGCTGTGTGCCTTGGGCTAGATGCTTTGCCCTTTGGGGGTCAATCCTTTCCCAGAAATCCACTGAGGGTGTCCTGTTTGTGGGGGAGGGGGCCTGAGGGTCTTTTCCAGATTTCCTGTGTGTGTGTGTCATCTTCACTGTGCTCACCCAGAGACAGCAGTTTATGAAGAGCGAACTGTATCATATACACGGGTGAAATTCTGCTAAGTGTGTGTAATGCAATATGTTTCTGGAAACTGTTCTGTGAGAAGTGGTTTTCTTTTTGGCTCGGTGCTCCAGTCTTCATTATAAGTTTAATAGAAAATATGCTTCCATGTAAACCATTTCTTCTGCCATATGGAGACCTTTTTAGTTTTTCCTAACACTTTAAATGGTGCGTTAAAATACACTGGGTGGTGCCATCGTATAGAAATGTATAATTTCTTAATTAAACAATATTTTATCTTTCAGAGCAGAAAATTCCTGAAGAAGAATACATTATTTTGATCGATGGCTTAAATGAAGCTGAGTTTCATAAACCTGATTATGGAGACACGCTTTCTTCATTTATTGCCAAAATTATCTCTAAATTTCCTGCCTGGTTGAAGTTGATTGTGACTGTAAGAGCAAATTTTCAGGTGAAAAAAGAATTTTCGACTCTTTTTCCAAGTCCTTATTCTCAAATTTTAAAGTGATGAATGCTAACAATTTGAGCTATTGTAAACCATTTAGCTGCTGAACTGAAAACTATATTAAGACTTTATGAAATACTAGAGGCCCAGTGCACAAAATTCGTGCACTGGGGGTTGGGGGGGGGGGTGTCCCTCAGCCCAGCCCGCACCCTCTCCAATCTGGGGCCCCTCAGGGGATGTCCAACTGCCAGTTAGGCCCTGTGGGATCAGGCCTAAACCGGCAACCGCTCGCCTGCCTGCCGGACTGCTGGCTCCCAACCGCTCGCCTGCCTGCCAGCCTGATCACCCCCTAACCACTCCCCTGCCAGCCTGATTGATGCCTAACTGCTTCCCTGCCGGCCTGATCACCCCCAACTGCCCTCCCCTGCTGGCCTGGTCATCCCCAACTGCCCTCCCCTGCTGGCCATCTTGTGGTGGCCATCTTGTGACCACATGGGAGTGGCCATCTTGTGCGAGGGCGTGATGGTCATTTTGCATATTACCTATTTATTATATAGGATTAGTCACAGAGCCCCAAGTGGGCACAACTCTGACCTTTTTACCCCCCTTCCCCCAAGGCACATTTATCACGATGTCAGGTAAGTTTTCCATTAGCATTGAGCTGCACTTATCCTTGTACACGGAGGGCCTAGCCCTGGTTCACCACTGCTTTGGGGAGCAGTGTGAGGTGTCTGGCAAACAGGTCTCACCTGTCAAACACACCTGGTCCAGTAGCTCAGAGGTAAAGTTATTCCTCCTGGTGGTGGTTTGCCCTGCTCTGCAGTGGGACTTTGGTGTGTGTGTGTGTGTGTGTGTGTGTGTGTGTATGAAGAAAAAAAGGGAGGGATGAGGAAGGGGATTTTTAAGACCTATTCTGAGGGAAGGTCTGTCCCCTCCCCACCCCGCCCCCAAAAACGTAAGCATGAGGTAAGCATGCAGGGAGGGGAAGAGTGATTTTTTAGAATTCTCTTCTCATGTTTTCCCTCACTTGAACCCTACAACTGTATCTCAACAACCATTGACTCCTTCCTTCTACCTTGTTCAGTTTTAGTAAAGACATTAGATGTTTGCCCTTTTATGATGCTACTTATTTTAAAATAGCATTTGGTTTCTTCCTTTTTTTTCCATCAAAAGTGGCATTAGGCCTCGGTTGAACGTGACGTAGTGTTCATGGGAATTGGGTCCATACCCTTTGCAGTCATGCTCCACGCTGTCAGCAGAATCTGGCCGTCGGCGGGCACAGGAGAGGAGTCCAGTGTTCCGTGCACTGGCTGTGTGCGTTGCCAGAGGTTCTGTTAGCATGCACATGACATGGGAGCACGTGACATGGGAGCGATGGTGCTCCTCCCGCCTCCTGGAATCACTGCATTCCCTGAGGACATGCACTTACATACTTCAGAAACGATAGTGGGAAGTTAAAGAAAACCCACCAAACTCACCTCTGCTATGAAGGGTCAGGATGTGCTTACCTCAGGGCTGGGAGAGATGGTCGGGGACCAGGGACTTCCAGGGAACTGGTGCTCTGAGCTACTGGACCAGGTGTGTTTGACTTTGTGAAAATTAGTGACACCGGGCAATTATGATTTGTGCACTTCTGTATGTATTGCTTCCATTTAAAAGTTTGCTAAAAACCAGCAACTTGAGAAAGCGACCGGGGACTGTACTAGGGTAGGGCCCCTGCGTGTGGACAGGCTTCACTGGGCACGGCCGGGAGGCAGTTTCGGGTTTCCTGGTTCAGTCTCGCAGCCCTGGCATCTGCAGGAGAGAGAGGGATGCCTCTTATCTCGGGGTCTGGCCGTGTTCTTAGAAGTACAGTGGTGGCTGTGTTTGTCCCTGTTATGTAACCTGTTACACAATGTAGGGATGATGGGCGTCAGGTCCACTCAGGGCTTCACGGCTTCTTTGTGGGTCCGGCCAGGTGGCCTCGCCGCCGGGCCTCTTGCCTCCCGCTGGGCTCCGAGTTTTCGGATCAGGGCCTCGGAAAAGCCTTTACTGATTCGATCTCGCATCAGGATTTCTTTCACATAAGCTTTTTATCTTCAACTTATCCTATTACACGTTTTAATACAAAATAATGAGTCCCTGTAATCCATGAAAATCCTCCTTGAAAGAAAACTAGTGAATCTGGTTTGAAATGCAGCTGACATAAAAAGAGAAATCTCGTGCAGTGACACTGTGGGTTTTCTTACAACCCCCCGCACCCCCCAGGAAATCGTCAGTGGGCTGCCATTCGTCAAGCTCTCCCTGGATGACTTCCCCGACAACAAGGACATTCACAGCGACCTGCACGCCTACGTCCAGCACAGGGTCCACAGCAGCCAGGACATCCTCAGCAACATCTCCCTGAACGGCAAGGCCGACGCCGCCCTCATCGGGAAAGTGAGCAGCCACCTGGTGCTGCGGAGCCTCGGCTCCTACCTGTACCTCAAGCTCACCTTGGACCTCTTCCAGAGGGGACACTTGGTCATCAAAAGTGCCAGCTACAAGGTGGTGCCCGTGTCCCTGTCCGAGCTCTACCTGCTGCAGTGCAACATGAAGTTCATGACCCAGTCCGCCTTCGAGAGGGCGCTCCCCATTCTGAACGTGGCCCTCGCGTCCCTCCACCCCATGACGGACGAGCAGATCTTCCAGGCCATCAACGCTGGCCACATCCAGGGGGGAGCAGGGCCGGGAGGACTTCCAGCAGAGGATGGAGGCCCTCTCCTGCTTCCTCATCAAGAGGCGAGACAAGACCCGCATGTTCTGCCACCCGTCCTTCAGGGAGTGGCTTGTCTGGAGAGCAGATGGTGAGAACACGGCCTTCCTGTGTGAGCCCAGGTACGACGGGACGCTTTCCGTCAGCTCTTTGCAGGGAGTCTGATGGGCCCTTGGGAAAGGAATTTCAAATACAATTCACATTTTTTTAGTGGAAAGGCAACACAGAATGGAAACTTCAGGAGGGGCATTGGCACATTCTCTCTGCTACTAACCCACAGCCGCCTCCCTTGCATTGCTAGGAGGTTAGGACTCCTGTGTACATTTGGGTGCAAGAGACGCCAGGCAATGCCTTGGTGTGATTTCTTTGCCATCCATTCTCTTCTAGACCCCGCCCCCTGTCCCAGGAGTCATCCGTGGTGGGAAAGCGTGGTATTACCTCCAGGAAACAGTGGGCTTCCTGAGAAGCTGTTCCCAGTCACTGTCTTCCCCTGGGGGTTGTGCGCTGACTTGGGCCCCCAGCACCCTCCCCTACCCACCAGGGATCGGATGTGGCTGCTGGCCCAGAGGGGAGCACAGCGACCACAGCTGGCCACTTTGATTTGCATTTGTGGTTTAGCTCGGGGTGACACACTGGGATTTGTGGTCAGGGGGATTGAGGTTCAGGTCTCAGATGCCCCACCTATGAGATGGTGGTTGGGCAGCTGCAGTCACTGAGTTGTAGGTTCCACTGAGGATTTGCCCCAGGGCGGGGCCCAGATGCAGTTCTTCCTCCTGCCCAGGGGAGGAGGCAGCGGTGAGCTATTGTGGACCTGATGCTGGTCAGCGTGAGGTCAGGAATTTGAAGGTGCAGGTACTTTCAGATTAGGGTGTGTTCATGTCCACCACCCCTGCCCGGCCCTGGCCCACATCATCGCTATCTTAAAGGGCTCCTGCTCTCTGTGAGTCAGAATTGCTCCTGACTCCTGCAGCACATCTGGCCAGCTGCTAAATTGTCCCCTTTGGGCTAGACTGGGCATTCAACCAGACGCTGGGGTCCAGAAGTGAGTAAGAACTTGTGTCCAGCACAACACCTTCCTCCCCACGAATGTTGACAACGCTGACCAATAGGTCTGGCTGCTGTTTCATGTTGTGATAGTGTTATTTCTTAGGTGACACTGGTCTAAGAATTGTCCTTTTGAACCTGGTTTGGGGTAATAAACTGTAACTCCCAGGTTATTGAGCCAGACCATAATAACTAGGTAAATTGTATGTCATGACATAGTTAGGTGAGGGATTTTCTTGGAGAAGTCAGATCATTTACTGGGAAAAGAAAGGCTGTTGTTGAATCTGTAGAGACATAAAAACAAGTTAAGCCCTGCCTGGGTGGCTCAGTTGGTTGGAGCAACCTCCTGTACACCAAGAGGTTGTGGGTGCAATTCTGGTCAGGGCATATATCTAGGTTTCGAGTTCAATCCCCGGTCAGGGCACATATGAGACACAATGGATCAGTGTTCTCTTACATTGATGTTTCTCTTTCTCTCTCCCTCTTGGTCTCCCTCTCCCCCTTCCTCTCTCTCTAAAATTAATAAACATATCCTTGGGCGAGGATTTAAGAAAAACACAAAAACAACAGTGGGTGTAGGTTTGTTATGGAGGTTTGGACTGTAGTCAGTTAAGCTTCACTCCCTTCTGGGTGGTAGGTGGCGTTGAGGTCATGCAGCGTAGGGTAGAGCTGAGATCGGGGTGCCTGATGGGTTGTCACCTTTGGTCGTGGACTGCTGAGCGCTGATGTGCTTCTATATGCAGACGTGGGGACCTACAGGGGCAGGGCCAGGACTAGGCTACAGCAAGAGAGGCACGCAGGGTGCAAAGGAATTGTTACCTCTCAGAATTGTGCAAGTCAGCATTTACCCAAGACCCCTATAGTTCTCCAACTTCCCTCAGCAGACGGGCAGTGTATAGAACCATGTCGGAAGGTAGCTACTGGACTTAGTTCAGCACAAGTTTTTGTGGACCCACTACATGCAGGGTCATGTGGTGGATACAGAAATTCCCGGGGTGAGGGCCCAGTTCTCACGGGCTTTGCACCCAGGAGGGTTCCCCACACAGGAGGACCAGTGAGGTGACAGGGACGGTGCTGGGCGGAGCCACACTGCACGTGGGCCTCAGGAAAGAGGAGCAGCTCCCTCTGGGATGGCCATGTCTGCAAAATGCTCCACATACATGTTAATGTTTGAGTTGGGCCTTGAAGGATGGGTAACATTTCTCTTGCCACCCCAGTTAGTTGTAATATTCCCCAATTGCAGGGAAGAAAGAATCCAACACCCAGAGGCAATGGCACTTCATTTTTCACTTCTGCCCCTTTCCGTGCATTTTAAATATTCTCCGAATTATTTTTTCTGTAATAAAATTCCCATTCTGCTTGCTTTGCTTAATATATTGTGGACATTTTATAAAGCTGCTTGACTATCTTAGTGTCATTTTGCATGGCTGTGCAGACCTCCTAGAAAGCAAATGATACCCTTGTTGTGGGGCTTTTACATTGTTTCTGGGTGAGTTATAAACACATAAATGTATTGTGAATATCTAGGTGCTTTACAGGAGAGCAGGAGCGTTTGAGGGAGGTCCGGATTAAATCCTGTTTCCAGCCTAACCAGAGTGGCTCAGTTGGTTGAGCATCGTCCTGTGCACTGAAAGGTTGCTTGTCCAATTCCCAATCGGGGCACGCATGGCAGGCAACGATCGATGTTTCTCTCTAAACATGTCCTCAGGAGGGGATTACAAAAATCCTGTTTTATTTTTACCTTGTGTGATTCTTGTGCACAGTTTATTTTAATTCTCCAAGCCTAAGTCTCCTCATCTGTAAAAAGAGTAAGAGCACCATCACCTCCTTGTGTAACAGTGGCTGTTACAGAGAGAAGTACTTTTTTTTTTTTTAATACTCACCCAAGGATATTTTTCCATTGAGTTTTAGAGAGAGTGGAAGAGAGAGTGAAAGACAGAAAGAAATATCAAAGTGAGAAAAACACATCAATTGGTTGCCTCCTACACGCGCCTCAACCAGGGCCCTGGCCGGGGAAGAGCCTGCAACTGAGGTACATGCCCTTGACCTGAATTGAACCTGAGACCCTACAGTCCACAGACTGACCCTCTATCCACTGAGCCAAACCAGCTAGGGACAGAGGGAAGTACTTAAGAGCATCTGCTTCTCCCCTTTATACTCCCCATCTTCCTCTATGCCCCCCCCCTTTCCTTTCTGTTTTTGATTATCCCTTAGGTTTGAATCCAGGAACAGAATTATCAAGTTAAAGAGTAAAGTTACTCAAAACCTCATTCACATCACCTAGGCTTAAACACAACTCACATTTTACAATATTTTCTCCATCTGTTATTTTTTGTTGAAATAAATTATAAACTTCATGATATTTTACCTGAAATAGTCGGCTATAAACTTCAAAAAAAAAAAGAAAAAGATTTTCATACTTAACCACACACCTAAAATATTAACACTAATTCACCAGTATCATTCACATTTAGCTATGCTCGGATTTCCCCACTTCATATTTTTCAGTATGTATGAGTCAGGATCCAGATGAGGACCCTAAAAGGCATTTTATTGTGTCTCTTTTAATCTACAGATTTCCACCTTTTTGTTTCTTTACATTTTGTTTTTTTAAAAAAGATCAACTGGGTAGTTTGTCCTATGTTTCCCATAATGTGGATTTTGCTGATTGTGTTCTCAGAGTAGTGTTTAATGTGTTTTTTCACCATTATTTTCTATAAATTGGTAGTTAAATCTGGAAGCTTGATCAGATTTTATTTTATTTAATTTTTTTTTGCAAAGATGCTTAATAGGTAGTAGTAAGTAAAGTAAGTACTTCCATAAGGAGACATTTAACATCTTAAGTCTCTCAGAGCCATTCGTGATCATTTCCTGGGTCCTTCGATTCTTTGGGGTTGCACAGGACTTTTAATCTAGGGCAGTCTCTCATCTACTTTCCCCACGTCATTGACTTGAGTGAACGTGTAGCATTTCAGTAGGTGGAACAAGTTGGTTGCTTGGGGGGGGGCACGCAAGGCATCACATCAGAAACGCAAGCTGTGTTCTGCCAGAACAAATCCCGTTTGACTGGAGCTCTTGTCACGGAACTGAGGAGTGGAAAGGGTTGACACAAAGGACGTGTCTGGGGATTGTGGCCTTTCGCAGCCAGCTCTGAAGAACCTGTGAAGATTGGAGTGCAGATCATCAACGTGGACAGCAGTGTGGTGGGCGGAGCAGGGGGACCCCCTGTGGCAGCCAGAAGTGGGTAGAAGTTGGCTTTAGGATGCAGTGGGGTGGAGACAGGCCTTGTTGACATGAGATAGATGGGCATGGCTTGGTCTTGTGGGCAGAGTCGAGGAAGAGAAGGTGCCATATCAAGGTATGTAGTGACCTTGCTCCCAGAAAGGGTAAGAAAGGCAGAAGGTGTGAGACTGTACCTGCGGGTGGTGGCTGTACCTGTGATGTAAACATGACCCGTAGTTTCATGGAGTTTACATTTGGTGACAGACATAAGTAAGGTGATGGAGTTTACATTTGGTGACAGACATAAGTAAGGTGGTTCCAGAGAGAAAGCCCTGCCCTGTCACAGGGCTTCCCTCTGGCTCGCTCCAGGGATGGGGAATCCAGAGGAAGCCCCTAAAACGACTTGACGAACACAGCGTCCCAGCGTTTTGTGTGGTGGTGCGGAGGTGGCAGGGTTTCGGGGTTTGTGCATCGATGTTCTCACCGGAGGGCCCAGGGTGCGGTGGGACGGGGTGTTTGTTACAAGTCTGTGTTTCTGGCCCTAGGAACGGGCACGCTCTCCTGGCGTTCATGTTCTCTCGACAAGAGGGCAAGCTGAACCGGCAGCAGACCATGGAGCTCGGCCACCACATCCTGAAGGCACACATTTTCAAGGTGAGACACACACCACCGTGACGACGGCTCTCACTGTTGTCGTCCTTGTGTTTTTCAGTTTTTGGTTTTAGAGAATTTCATCAGCTTTATCAGCCCTCTCAGCCCTCCATGAGCCCCGTTCCAAACACAGCCCCTCCCTTCTCCCTAAAAGTAACCACTGTTCTGAGTTACAGTCGCTCACGTGTGTATCTAAATGCTAGGGTCACATTTTTACTGCCATCCCCCACCCCGTCCCCCCCTCCCCCTGCCCGTTTAAGCCCCTTTTAAGTTTCTTTCCACCTGAAGTTGCCATTTTATTCATTCCCTTTGGTTTCCTGGTTCTTTAGTTGTCAAAGAACATGAGTTACTTGACCTCTAGTTTGTTTGTTTGTTTGTTTGTTTCTATAGTCGGACAATTTATTTTGCTGAATTTAGAATCAAGTTCAGCTAGACCTCTAGTTTTGCACCACCTGGATTTTCTGATAGTTTTTATTTCTCATGATCTAGTTCATGATCCTCTGGATTTCTTATTTGGTAGTTGTACCTAGAGGCATAATCAGACTCAGGTTTGATTTTTTCCCAGGGTGTCATGATTACTTCCTAGTTATTCCATGTAACTCTGTGGGGCTCCTGCATCGGAAGGTACAGTGTCTGTGTTGCCTCTCTTGGTGGGATGCCATCAGCTGCAGGTCTCTGCTTGGACCATGCACTCGGTGTGGGTTCCAGAATGGTGATGCTTTCTCATTGATTCTTCCTTTGACTGACTGGAGAACTTCTACGAAGAGAAGAAACTTTCTCCTCATCTGCCATCTCTCTCCCCAGGCCTATGAGCTGAGCGGCAGAGGCAGGCTGTCCTTGCCCCTTGGTTTTCAGGAGAGAAGGCTCGCAGGTCTGGGCATTCTTTCCACAGCTCTCACGTGTCCGCTTGCACCCGCACCCTGGGGGTCCCACCCACTTCAGCCCAGCGCTGCAGGTGGAGAAGGAGACGCTGAGGCACCCTGGGGGTCCCACATGCTTCAGCCCAGCGCTGCAGGGGCAGGGGAAGGAGTCGCTGAGGCCGCTTGTCTCCGATTCCTTCCAGGGCCTGAGTAAGAAGACGGGGATCTCCTCGAGCCATCTCCAAGCCCTGTGGATCGGGTACAGCACGGAGGGGCTGTCTGCCGCCCTCGCCTCGCTCAGGAACCTCTACACGCCCAATGTGAAGGTGAGCGAGCCCTGTACCCTGTGCCCGTGCCCAGGCCTATGCCTGCTGCCCTTTCCCCAACAGTCCTGCCCTCCCCCTCCCTGGGCTGTGGCCAGAGGCCTTGGAGGAGCTTCTGATGATGCTCTTCTCTGAAGTCGAAGTTGGTCCCTTTCTCTTCTACCTGCTGGGCCAGCTCTCCCCGGGGCAGGAAGCCGTGGGGGGCGGGGGGCGCTGTGGGCCTGTGGTGATGGTTTCAGAGGGATGTGATAAGGAAGCAATTCACACAGAAAACCGAAGATCAGAGGGAGAGTCCAGGAAAGAGTGATTGTTAAAATGCCCTGAGTTTCTAATCTGGACTACCTCTTTATGGCTCATAGGAAATTGCACGTCGGTGAGACACAAAGTGATAGGGACATAGGGACACAGAGGAAACTGCTGCCTAGGTTTCGTGTACGCGCGTGTTTAGGACCATGGAAAGCGGTTCAGGGTCGGCCCCTGCTGAGCCAGTGGCTTCCCCAGTCTTGGTCCGTGGCTGTCATGTCACCATCTTCTTTTTAGAGTAGATCTCACCCCTCATTGTAACGAAGTCTAAGAATCTAAAGCACACAGAGGCCAAGTACCTGGTTAAATCAACAGAGAAGGGGTAGCCGCCCCCAAGTGTGGGACTGACTGCTTCACATGATGGCGGCTTGCAGTCGTCTTTTCCAGTGTAAAGTGAAATGAGATCATAAATATTTTCACCTTTTGGATTGCTCACCCACCTGACACATCTGCTGGACTCCAGGCCTTTCGGCCGCAAGCCCTGGCATGCCCGGCTGCCTGCACAGGCTCCGAGGCGGTTCCCAGGGAGCCGGGCCCTCCCTCCATGAAAACAGTCATACCTGCCCCCCCTTTTAGCAGGAGGGTGACCGATGTGGTCATGCAGCAAAGGACAGACGGAGCCCTGTATGCTCCAGGCATGCCTTCCACGTCTCGCTTTGGGTTCATCAGACTCACCTGGGGAGGGCGCCACATGCCCCAGAGATGACACTCCCAGGAGACTTCTGCACCTCTTTCTCCCTGCCTCCCCTCCCTCCCCACCCCCCAGCACCTCGAACCTTAGATGTGTCACTGGGGACTTAGGCTTGCAGAGGGCTTCCCATGCCCCTTGGGGCTTAGCTCTGCCCCTTTTCTCCTTTCCCTGCCTTCCTGGTGGATTCTTTTCCTTCTCCTCCCCTACAGAGGGGAGGAGTGGCAATGCTGACGGAGAAGGTTAGAGAAAGGCCACCGCCTCCTGGTGGACGCAGACAGGGCCTTTGCAGAGATAAAGTGCTGCCTCGTGCCGGTGGACTTGCCCCCTCTTAGGGTTCAAGACTTGATGGGCAGGGGGCTCATTGGGTTTCATTCTGACTTGCCCCTCGGCCAGGCGCCTGGGAGCAGAGCACCCCTGGAGGACTGCTCACGGGACCCTGGGCTCTGCTCGCCCCTTTGCATGTTTGCACCTCTGTCCAGACCTGAGGTTTGAGTGCCTGTGTCTCAGCTGAACCCCCCCCCACACACACACACACAAGCTTAAGGGGGATGGACAGGGAAGCTGTTTTTGTAGTTATGGGAATTAGCTTCAGGCTGCTTCTACCGATCAAAGGAAGCTCTTCCTGTCTAAATGGAGTTACTGTCACAGAAAGGTGGCGAACACAGCTAAGTTTAGACCTCACATAATAAAATATTTGTATTAAGAATTTTTGTTCTATTTAGATTTTATAGAAATTGGGTTGAATTTACTATAATAATGACATTGTTTCATCTTTTGTCTCAGCAAAAGTATACCTTTTGGCTTGTCCATAATTAAGAAAATTCTATAACAATGACCAGGAAGAAAGAAAGAAAGACTAACAATGGCAATATCTGTTTTTACTATTTTAATGAATTGCGGGCACAGACATTATTCTTCCAATACAGAGAAAATTAAATGGGAAACATCATACTCTGTTGAATATGAGCTTTTAAGACAGAAAATTGAAGCTACAGCATAACAATATAATGACCTTGACCTTCCTGGGATTATAAACTTTCCTGTCTAACATACTTGCACTTTTACGAGTCTTTCATCTTCACTTTGTTTTAGAGAACTCCTATGTCACCTTGCATCTACACTGTCCCTGAAATTCTACAACTTGCTTATAGAATTTTGAGGCTTTCCATTATCCTTCTGTTTCCTTTTATCTTTCAAGAAAAAAAATAAAAGGGTTTTCACAGAATCTTGAACAAATTACAGTAATTTAAAATTATGCATGCAATTAAGGAACTTTTTTTAGAGAGTATTAAATGTTGTCATACAGGCACGGATGTCATTTTGAGCAATAATTGCAGTTTGCCACTTTGGTAAATTAAAGTGACTTTGCTCCGGAATGATTGCTTGGTAGATGAATTTTAATTTTAATGGCATGCCAGTGACTTCTAACAATGGAGGCTCCTGTTACCAGGCCAGCGTCATGCCAGCCCAACCCTGGCAGCCCACTGGGGTCCTTGCCACCCGGCCTCCAGGCTCCCATCCAGCTGGCCGTCTGGCTCACACTGTCCCATCGGACTGGCTGCCAGGCCACGGGCTTCCCAAGGCTATGGACGTGGGAGAATTTGCGTTGCGATTCTTCCCTCAGCTGAAGGCAGGGAGGAGAGGAGACAGAGTGAGGCATGGACTTGGCCTTACTGCCCTTGGCCGAGAGGGTCCAGGAGTATTCTGCACGACAGTTAGGCAGCACAGCACGCCGTGTAAACCTGCTATCGGGGCTGTGACCCTCCATAACTATTGAGGAAACTGATCCTTGCACCTGCCGACCATGCTGGCCAGCGCCTCGCCAGTGCCTCATGATCACATCGCTTTGCCTACCTCCAGCCCCTTTTCTGCTTTCTTGCATTCATTAAACCCAGAAGTTTATAGATAATATTGCCATTTCTAAGTGTTATCCAAGGAGACAGTCTGTGATGGTGGTGGTTGGAAAATTTCCGTGTTGGGAGGAAAATGTAGAGGACAAGCCACTTAAACCCTGTCCTTGAATGCAGAGTAACCTTAGCTGGAGCTGCTGCTTACGCCACCGGACTGCTCTATGGCAGTAGTTAGCTTTGTGCCCAGGAATAATCTGTGCTTTGTCCCCTCTGAGCCTCAGTTCTCTAACCTATAAATTGGAGGTAACAAAAGAGCCTTTCTCATAAGGATGGGAAACCTCATTGAGGTGTTAAAGCTCTTGGAAAATACTGGGCATTTATTACATGGGCAAGTGAATTATTCTCATCTGTGCTTTGTCTCCTTCCTGGAGACCGAGACTCGGCTGTAGGCACCTGAGAACTTCTGGATGTGTCTATGGCTGGTGGTGAGAGGAGCTGCCCACCGTGAGATTTTGTTGGGTCCAGGTGACTCCTGTCTGCTCTCAAATAAGCGTGAGGTCTCCTGCGCTCGCTCGGGGCTGGTGAACAGCTCGGGGAGAAGAGACCTCGGTGGCCAGGTGCCTGGGGCAGAGCGCCCTCCTGTGCCTTCCAGCGTCAGGGACCTGGGTTCCGGTCCCTTCTGAAGATTCTGTGAAAAGTGATCGCAGTGATAGCAGTTGAACTTATTTAGCACTTGCAGGATGCCGAGGCGTGTGCTAAGTGCTTTATGTGTGTCTGTGTGTGTCACGTTCATTTTTAATCTTCACAGCAACCCAGTGAGGTGAAGCTGTTCTTATCTCCACTTCTCCAATGAGGATGAGAGCAGTTAGTAGCTGCCCCAAATCACACAGCTGGAAGGTACCTGGCTAAGAGCAAGCCCATGCCCCACAGGTGCATTGATCATCGCATGTGTTTGCAGCCCTGGCTGCCAACCAGAATCACTGGGGAGCTCGGTGCCTGAACCAAGGCAGAGTCTCCACGGGGGCTCGGGCATTGGAAACTTTCAGGCTCCCAGATGGTTTCAGTGTGCAGCAGGTGAAGAACCATGGGTTAGCCCTGGCCGGGGTTTCTCAGTGATTAGAGCGTTTGCCCTCGCACCAAAGGGTCTCAAGTTCGACTCCCTGTCTAGGGCATGTGCCTGGGTTGCAGGTTCAATCCCTGGCCGAGTGGGATGTGTGCTGGAGGCAACCAATCGATGTGCTTCTCTCACATTGATGTTTCTTTCTCCCGTCCCCTCCCCATTCCCCCCCCCCAAAAAAAAACAATGGAAAAAATATCCTCGGATGAAGATTAAAAAAAAAAAAGAGCCATGGGTTAGGGAAAGGCAGATGAAGTATGAATTGTTAATGAACATTGGTACCACCCAGGTAATGTCTTACAAGGTGTCAGCAAGAGAGTACTGAGAGTACACCTTCTGATATTGACAGAGAGTACCTGTTGGGTGGAATGGGGTGATCTACTGGCTGTTTTCTCAGGAGGCACCTGGAGAACAGAGAAGTTGAGAAATTTTTTGAAAATCACACAGCAAGTTAGTTAAGGGGCTGATTGTGAACTTAGACTATTTAATCCATCATCTTTTTCTCTTAGGCTTATGGATCTCAAGAGGGGCTGGGATTGGTGGAGAGCAGAGAGGGTAACTGGCTGTCAGGGAATTTACCAACTATTATTGCCATTCCCGGGGTGACCAGAGTGTGGTGGTCTCTCAGTGATATGATGTTGAAAAAGCTGCCAGCGTTCTTTTGTATTCCTCTTGGTACGAGTCGATTTCCTCAGCTTTATAAGATCCCCAAGCATTTTCACCAGCATTATCCTATTCTTTCCGTACTAAATGGTAGTTGCTGAAGGGGAAATTGTTTTCTAAAAAACCCTTCCTTTTGTTTAGCACTTACCATTTTAAATACTTTGGAATCCTAGTTGAGTCTGGTGCAGCTTTTAAGAGCAAACCCATGTGGATTTGTGGAGCAGGCCCGGCAGAGGTGCAGCCTTGTGTTAAATGTCAGTGTTAGCTCAGGGACACCTTTTCTGGTCTCTCTTCCGACAGTTCTCTGCCTCTCCACCCACAGTGCTGGCTGGAGTGGGAGGCCGGAGGCTGAGCTGGCGCTGACCTGGGTGGGGCTAAAAGATGTCCCCTCTGATGGGTGTAAGCTGTGGGGTGGGTGCTGTGGGTCATGGGGTCTCCTCAGCATTTGTGCGCGGTCTGTCCTTCCTTCACTGTAACTGATGTCCTCTGGTGGGGAGGATCTGATGGGGTCATCCTGTCCTCGAGGGCCTTTATTTGCCACTCTCCTCTGTGAACTTTGGAATCTTACAGCCAGCACCTGGTGCAGGGGGCTGAGCCGGAAAGTGGGGTGTGAGGAGGGGATGCACAGTGCCTGGGTTGATGCATGCATGGGGGTGTGGTTCTTGTGGACAAGTGTGTGCACGTGGGCAGAGTGGTGGGAGTGTGTTTTGTAGGGGAGGGGGCGGAGAACTTTTCTCTGGTGTCCTGGCATCAGAGCAGAGACCTTTAGGAAGCAATCCTTTGTCTGTTGAATCGATGGGAAGGGCGTTCCTGACAGAGGTAAAGGCCCTGAGGCTGAGGCCTGCTTGCCTTTGGGCGCAGCGTGGCCAAAGTGGGGAAGTAAAGGGGAAAGTGCTGGGAGAGGAGAGGGAGCTGGAGGGCTGGGTCACCTGGGGGTCGCGCCCCAGGACAACCAGGACTCTAAAGAGCTTACACTTTGGGTTCTAACCTGTCCGTATGCTGCGCACGATTCCAAGTCGTGGTCTTACCACCTAGTAATATTAATTTCTATCAGTTTGTAAAAATTCTGTCAGCTACTCACATGGACACATATCATTGAGAGAACTTGAATTTTATATGACTTACCATCTTTCTGCATCTTTTAATGATCCCCTGAGACTCTAGTCAAATGAACGACACAGTGTCTGTGGTTTTCACACCTCGTGGGCAGCCTGGAGGCCTGCCAGAGCCTGTCAGGGGATTGATTGATGCTGGCCCGGGCCACTGAAGGGAACTGTTTGAAGAAATGCATTGGGCATTTTAATAGGTGTTAAAGGGCTGTCGTTTTTTTCAGTGATCTGGAGATATGCAGAAGACATTAGTAGAGCTACAATGTGCATACGGTATTCTGTGATTTTATTTTTAAATCTCTAGATAAACTTCCCCTTGGATCATATCTGGATCCAGGTAACTTCAGTGGGTGGTGGGTGGGGTAATTAGAAAAAGACCATTTTTTTAGGAGCCCTGTGCTGCTGACAATCCCAGGGGCACACACATTTTCATGTGTCTGCTTTTTCTGCACTTCCTGGTGAAGGAAAGTCAGTGTTTGCCTTTACTTTTGGCCTTGTTATCTCACTGTTAATTATGTACGCCCGTGATGATCATTTCATTGCCAGGAAAAGGAGTTTTGTTTTTATTTGATTAAGCAGTGGTTTTTCAAAGTGTGGACCCCAGACAAGCAGCATCAGTAGAAGCTGGGAACTTGTGGAAAGGGCACCTTCTCGGGCCTGACCCCAGCACCCCAGGTCCAGAAGTGGGGCCTGAGACTGTGCTTTTAAATTTTTTTAATTTTAGTTTAAAAAAATAACACACAAGCCCGGCTGGTGTGGCTCAGGGGTTGAGTGTCGACCTGTGAACCTGTTATGGTTCTATTCCTGGTCAGGGCATATGCCTGGGTTGCGGGCTCCATCCCTGGTTGGGTCGGGCGGGGGAGGGGGGGGTGACGGTGCAAGAGGCAGCCGATTAATGATTCTCTCTTATCATTGATGTTTCTATCTCTCTCTCTCTCCCTCTCCCTTCCTCTCTGAAATCAATAAAAATAAACTTTAAAAAAAACCCATATACAACAATATAAAATTTACTATCTTAACTATATATTTAAAAAATTTTTTATTTAAGTAGATTAGTGATATTGGTATATATTAATGATATTGGGTTCAGGTGTACAGTGATTTGGCATTTTTATACCTTACAGTGTGATCACCCCACTAATTCTTGTAATCACCTGTCAGCATGCAAACTTATCACAATATTTTTGGCTAGATTCCTCTTCACCTTATTCACCCCCCCCCCCCATCATTCCTATGGTCTCTATTTTATCTTAATTATTTTTAAGTGTAGACTTCAGCAAAGCATATTCACATTATTGCACAATAGCTCTCCAGAAGTTCTTCATCATGTAAAACTAAATCACTGTACTCATTAAACAGCTCTCATTACACCTTCCCCCCAGCGCTGGGCAACCACCATTCTGCTTTCTGTCTCTATGATATGACTACTATAGGTACCTCATATAAGTGGAATCACATAGTATTGATCTCTCTGTGACTGGCTTATTTCACTTAGCGTAATGTCCATAAGGTTCATCCATGTTGTAGCATGTGTCAGAATTTCCTTCCTTTTACTTTTTTTAAATTTCTTTTTATTCATTGATGAGAGAGAGAGAGAGAGAGAGGGATTGATTTGTTGTTCACTTATTTATGCATTCATTGGTTGTTTCTTATATGTGTCCTGACCGGGGATCAAACCCTCTACCTTGGCCTATCAGGATGACTGACACTCAGCCAGGGTGAGAATTTCTTTTTAAAGGCTGAATAATACTCCATTGTACACAGGCATATACCACATTTTGTTTATTCATTCAACCATCGAGGGACATTCGGTTTGCTTCCATCTCTTGGCTGTTGTGACTAATGCTGCAGTGAACATGGTAGTGCAGGTACTTCTTTGAGACCCTGATTTCATTGCCTTTGGAATATTCCCAGAAGTGGGACTGCCGGATCGGGGGGACCTGCACACTGTTTTCCGTGGCTGCTGCACCATTTGCATTCCCACCACGGAGAATGTGCACTTGCAGCACGTTCGCAGGTAACACGGCGCACACTCGAGTTTGAGAACCACCTGATCAGCATGAGGCTACTGCCCCTCTCCACGGAAGTTGTTACAAATGTTGTGACTTTTATGTGAGAAATTAATCTTGTTGGGGGACATTATCCAACAGGTGAGCCGGCTCCTGATTTTGGGAGGGGCCAACGTGAACTACAGGACCGAAGTGCTGAATAACGCCCCGATCCTGTGTGTCCAGTCTCACCTTGGCCATGAGGAGGTGGTCACTCTGCTCCTGGAGTTTGGTGCCTGCCTGGACGGCATGTCTGAGAACGGCATGACCGCCCTCTGCTACGCGGCCGCTGCTGGCCACATGAAGCTGGTGTGCCTGCTGGTCAAGAAGGGGGCGAGGGTAAGCAGCAGCCTTCCCCCGGGGCGGTGGGGGGATGTCTTCATGTCCTCGTTAGAATTATCCCTTGGGCCAGCCTTCCATTTGTCTCTACCTGGTTGAATTGCATTGAACAGAAATTGCCAGGTAAACAGAAAGGGTGAGCTCAGCACTGCCGTGGGATGCCACCTGAGGGGGTGCGCTGAGTGGGTGCTCCAGTGCGCAGCCTTGGAGAGCGAGGGGCCGGGTGTTTGGCTCCTAAACTCTTACTCTGCTTACTGTTGCCCCAGGGGAGGCAGGCGACCGGGGGTCCTGGCACCAGTGGCCGAGTAGGACCATCCTTTCAAAAGCCTGCAAGTGCGGACCTAGATAGAACTTACCAGAATTTAACAGCACCAATTGCGTGAAAAGATTCACATGTTTCATTTTTTTTCTCTGTCTCCTTGTCCCTTTCATTTCATGCCTTTTTTTTAAAACAATAAAATGAGTTCTGTGGGCCTTAGAAGCCATGTGCCTGAGCATGTGGATCCAAGGAGCCAGACAGCCCAGAATCCTTATTTCTCCAGCTGCCAGCTGGGACGTTGGGCAAGTAGTTGAGGCTGCGTGCCTCAGGCTTCCCACCTGTGAGATGGGCATGGCAACAGTGTCTGCCACAGGGCTGTTGTGTGAGCATTAAATAAGTCAGTGTATTAACATTATTATTAGATAAGTTACTCTAGGACTATCGATGTTAATAAATTGAATGAGAACAGTGCCGAGCTCACAGTAAACTATTTAGGTTTACTGTAAGCATTTCATTTGGGGCCAGGGGGGGTGTGCTTTTGAAGAACAATTGAAAGAAATCGGTGATGTCTTTATGCTAATTAGGATACCGAAGGTTTAACAAGAAGACATTAGGCTTCTAGTAACTGTGGGAGCCCTTTTGGTTTTTCTCTCAAAAACACATTTGGGATGGATGAACTTTAATTTAGCTCAAGGAAGAAGAGAAATGTTGCTGTTACGCCTTCCCAGTGGGCGCATTAGTGCACATCAGCACACCTCCATTCCCACATCCAGACTGGGACTTAGCTTTATTCGGAGGCCAGCACGCCCCCTTCCACCCCAGCTGAAAGATCTGTAGGAGGGCAAGGGTCAGGGTCTTGCAAAGCCTCTGGGTGGGGGTGCAGGGCATTCCCAGAATTCGGAAGCAAGGAGAGTCTGTATTCCTGAGTGTAGACAGAATGACGCGTTATCTGCTGCCTTTGGGCCTTTAGGAGGTATGCAGCACTCAGACACTCGGTGATGAGCTGGCCTTCCCGGCTCCGTAGCCACGCTTGACATGCTGACAGGTCCCAGGTCGCCTGCCTGCACACGGCCTCCTTCCCCAATCGACGCCATTCAGAGTCCCTTCCTTGTTCAGAGCTGGGTCTTCCAAATCCCTCCCTTTTGCTGGCTCTCCTGGCTTAGTGACTAAAGAACTGCTCCGTGCCCCCAGAATGTAGCCTGTCACAGCCCGTTAGAATGTCCCCCTCCAGGAACTGGAGTCGGTGAGCACAGGGCTTTGGCTGAGGTTTCGATCTGTGTCCTAACACGTGCTCCCCAGAGAACTCAGAGCTCCCAGTTGTTTGCTGGAGGGACACAGGGAGTGAGCAGGGTGTGCTGTGACAGCCAGTCTACAAAGGGAACCCGAGACCTGGCAGAGTGCGTTCATTCCGTCGAAGTAATGCCAACAGGACTCTCTTCTCCAGAAAGACGCACTGGGACATGGACCCAGTACCTGTGTTTGCACACAGACAGCATTTGTGTTGGACCCATGTTCTCAGAGCAAAGGTGATGCTAAACCAGCAGTTATCAACCTGTGGGTCATGACCCCTTTGGGGGTCAAACGACCCTTTCACAGGGGTCGCCTAAGACCATCGGAAAACACATATATAATTACATATTGTTTTTGTGATTAATCACTATGCTTTAATTATGTTCAATTTGTAACAATGAAATTGGGGGTCACCACAACATGAGGAACTGTATTAAAGGGTCACGGCATTAGGAGGTTGAGAACCACTGTACTTAAAGGTGACCTTTGCTCCTGCCTTCCAGTTGGACCATTTGGATAAGAAAGGCCAGTGTGCGCTGGTCCACAGCGCACTGAGGGGCCACAGCGACGTTCTCCAGTACCTGCTGGCCTGCGAGTGGTCGGCAGGTGCACCCCAGCCAGGTGCACTGAAGAAGAGCCACGCCCTGCAGCAGGCATTGACGGCGGCCGCCAGCATGGGCCACGGCTCGGTGAGTGGGGCTGCGGGGTTCCCTCTTGGAAAACTGGAAGCTGTGGTGCACTGGGGTGGGTACTTGTGCAGGTCACCTTCTTTGGAGTTGCTAGTCTGTGATGCATGGAAGAAAAGAAGGTAAAGGAGGGTTTCGAGAAACAACAGTTGGTTTGACCATGTGTGACCATGATCCAGGGTCTTGGCATCACACCCTTCCTATGAGTGAAAGCCTCAGGCCCACAGTGTCAAGTGCATATGTGTGCTCACGACGGGGAGGCCTCTTCCACACGGAGTCATAATAGTCATAACGTTCATTCTCTGCTCTTCCTTGTCCCTTTTTAAAAATTGATTGTTAAGAGAGGAAGGGAGAGAGAGAGAGGGAGAGAGAGAGAGACATCGATCCCCGCCTGAGATTGAACCCGTAACCTGGGTATGTGCCCTGACAGGGAATCGAACCTGCTACCTTTTGGTGTCCTGGACAGTGCTCCAACCAACTGAGCCACCAGCCAGGGCTTCCTTGTCTATGTCTGTCTTCCTTCCCACTTCTACTTTCATCCTCTTGCCCTGCTGCCTTACTTTTTATCCCCACTTTGATTCATTCTTTTGTCCTTGTGGTCTTTTAAAAATAATCACATGGAAACCTAATTCTAAAATTGTCCTTGAGTATTTGAAAGATTTTAAAAATAGAAACTCAATGCTCTCATAGCCTGTAAAAACGCTTGCCATTCACAGTTCCTGCGCTGAAGGAAAACTCCACCAGCAGTTCAATAGAGCACTTATTTCTGGTAGACGTTGGCATTCCTCAGTTTGAGGTGTAATTGTCACCTCCTCACCAGTGTCTCTGTGTATTTAATATTTTATTTGCTCCCTTCTATGTATTTCTCTCTCTGTATGATCCTCAAGTGATCAAAGTTGCCAGTATTTGGTAAGAGTTGTCCCTACAATAACTTAGAATAAATTTGGGTGCAAAGCTGGTTGGCTGGCTAACTTTTCATATTTAAAACACAAGAGCAAACATACACACACATTAAAAATACACATACATAATACTTCAACACAATATATTGCATTAAGTTGAATGCAGAAGCATATAAGAGGATGCAGCTGTCTTAAGAGAGACATGAGAGATTTACAAAAATATGAAACAATACCAGTCAACTTACATGTTTTAGTTCTGGAAAAAATACTTTTTTATTTAAAAAACCATATTTCATAAAAATATGTTAAATGTTATATATAATGGGTTTATTATAAGCTCAGCGTGTTTTAAAGCTGGCTGAGAAGAATGCTGTGCAAAAGCAACGTCAGCCTCACCAGTAACAACTTTGTAGCAAAGGGCAGGATTCATTCACCACCTCGAAGGGTGTATGAGCTTCCTCATGCTGCTGTAACAAGTGACCACAGACTTGAGTGGCTTAAAACAGCAGACACCCATTCTCTTTCGGACCTGGAAGTCAGAAAGCTAAAGGTAAGGTGTCAGGAAGCCAGTGTTGTTTCTGGAGGCTCTAGAGGGGAATAGTTTCTAGAAGCCAGCTGTATTCCTTAGTTTATGGCCCTTTCCTTTGTCTGCAAAGTGCATCACTTTAACCTATGCTTCTGCCTTCCCATCTCCTCCTTCCTCTGAACTGTTGTTCCTGTCCCTCTTTGAGAGCCGCTGTGATTATGTCAGGTGTATATGAGGTATGCACCTGGGTAATTCAAGGTCATCGTCCCTTTCAAGATTCGTAGTCACATCTGCACATTTCCTCCTGCCATGCATGGTAACATTCCCAGTTTGGGGGACAAAGATGTGGATATATTTGGGGGCTATTGTTCAGCCTACCACATTGGTGCAGATTGGGGGACGGGAAAATGGCTCTGCCCTCGCCTGCTGCTGCTGCCGTGCAGAGTGAAGGGTTCGGGGCTCACACCCTTCCGATTCCCCTTGAGCCAGCATCCTGCCTCCACACCCGTGACCCGCCTGCTCTTTGATGGGGTCGGTGCCCGCACAGGAGAGAATAATAACGCTGTCAGTATGAAAATCATTTGGACAATGCTATTTATTTTATTGTATTGAAAAGATATACACCGCCTTGTTTTCTTTCCTTGTGAAAATGGATTCACCATCTTCGGGCAATTTATGCAGAAGCTGCACTTTGTGTGATATCCTGTGTCCTTTGATGATGAGGCTGGCATATTTGGGTCATGTTGGAATTCATTAAAATTCCGAGTACTTGGTAATCCTGAACAACGTTGCTGAAATTCACTGCGCCTTTTTTTTTTTAAATTCTCCTCAAAGTGAACGTGTGGATAGCATATGAATTATGCTTGAAAACGATTTTCATTATATTTCTCTCCTTGTGCAGCATGAGATAATCATGGTTAAAAAACAACAGACTCGCTCCTTTGGTACATGGGTACAATAAGCACATATGGCGATGAGAACTCATTAAGTCACCTTGCCACTTCTGACAGGTGGTCGAGTGCTTGCTGGGACTGGAAAAGGAACATGAAATAGACGTCAATGGCACCGACACGCTGTGGGGAGAAACAGGTAATTATGGCTCCACGGCTTACAGTCTGGGCCAGCCCGGATGCCAGATGTCTTAGCCCCCGTTTGGGCCTAATTGTCTTAAGGATGACTTGGGATGCATGTCGCCCTGTTGTTATTTTATCCTGAGGTATTTGAAGCTTAGCAGATGAGTCGTAAAACTTTCCTAAAATTCAAATCATTTTGAATTAGACCAGCCGTGCCTGTGAATCTGATGACTGTCAGCTAGAAATGCTGCATCTGACGAATGTCAGCCGGAAAGACCTGAATAAGGTGTTCCCTTATCCTAAGCAGCCTGGTCTCCTGTGAGCAGGGCAGGGCTGCTGTCCCGGGTTCAGATGAATCCAAGGTGTTCAGTGAGTAAGGCTGCAGCTGCCTGTGGAGAGCGGCCTGGGGCCTCGGGGGCTGCTTAAAGCACTGAGGCCAGGCTGCCAAGCCCATTTCTGTCGCTGTGGGGGGAGGGGTGTGTGTTTAACTGCAGCACGGGAAGGGAGCCCATGAAGATCTGAGTTGGTTACCTGTCAGGTTAACATGGATAATGCTGCTTTGAGATTTTCCATTGCACTGAATTGGTATCAGAATCATAGGACTCTAAGTTATGAGTTGTTGTTGAGTGGATGTAGCCAAGGGTGTTTACTGTGTGTGTCCAGGCTGTGTGCTGTGTGTAGACACAGTGTACATGGCTTCCATTTCTCCTGTGCAGATTTATTTCCAAATGCTCCTGAATTATTTCCTAACCAGCCAAACGGTAGTGTGTCGAGTTTATCAGCGAACTCATACTTAAGAAAAGCCTCAGGTGTTTGGAGGGTGAGGGTGGGGTGCAGGCCTGCACTTAAAAGTCTCTGGTGCCCTCCCTCGGGGCTGCCACTGTGTGTGTGTGTGTGTGTGTGTGTGTGTGTGTGTGGTGTATGTGTGTTGTGTGTGTGTGTGTGTGTCGTGTGTGTGTGTGTGTGTGTGTGTGGCGTTAGTGCCGGTCTGTCCTGGTGTCTACGGAGGAGGTGCCCTGGCCCCTGTTCCAGGAAGAGCGCAGAACCCTGAACAGAGTTGGATTATGCTTGGGGCTAAATGTGAGTAGATTTAAATATTGCCCTTAATTCTTTATGGAGTTTTCCCCCACCCATTTAGATAGTACGGGCTGCTCTGTAAGCTCATGAAAGAAATGCTTCCGTCCACTTCCCTATAGTGTTGTGGGTGGCAAAGTAGGACTTTGCATGGTGCTGAGTCAGAGGGTCCCATTCCTGCCTTTCCAGTGCCTGGTGTCGCAGGTTTGGGCAAGTTCCTCTGCCTCCTTGTCAAATGAGGTAAATAGTACCTACTTTCCAGGATCGTGGTGAAGATAAGGAATCTTGTCCAAATGTACCCAATGATAAGAACCCCGGGAACACTGCCTCAACATCCTGATTCGTTATGTCTAGGGCAGTGGTCGGCAAACTGCGGCTTGGCAAACCGCGGCTCGCGAGCCACATGTGGCTCTTTGGCCCCTTGACTGTGGCTCTTCCACAAAATACCGGCTCTTCCACAAAATACCGACTTCTGCTCATGGGCCATGAAGTTTCAATCGCACTGTACGTGCATGCCCACACGTGGTATTTTGTGGAAGAGCCACACTGAAGGGGCCAAAGAACCGCATGTGGCTCGCGAGCCGCGGTTTGCCGACCACGGGTCTAGGGGAGCCCCACACTCAGTTTTCTTAGCAGGCATCCCAGGTCATGCCAGGTGATTGTGGCTTCGGGACAGAGAGAGAACCACTGGGGAGGCTATGTGCAGTGACACAGAGTGAGAGGTGCCCGTGGTGGCGATGGGGGCCAGGTCTAGTAGTAGTTAACACGCACACTGAGCCCAAACGGGAATCCCCAGCCTTTAATACTGAAGATTTTTCTTTCTGGAAGAAAAATCCAGAGAAGGGCTGCAAGTGAGGGCCTTGTGTGAGCAGTCTGTTGTGACCCGTCTTGAATTTTAGGATCCCTGACCCCCTTGAGAATCTGCTAGGCTGATAGCTAAAGAGACAGGTAAGAGAAACCACTATTGCCATCAACCTTACTGAAAAGATGAATCACGGCTCAGCCCCAGCCTTCGGAAGCCCGCCCTTCAGACCACTCTGCAGCCTGGGAAGTACTCATGCCCTTTCTCAGCAGGCACAGGGTGAACGTCATCAGCCCAGAGTTTGAAGGATTTTTTTTAAGTTAATCACTGTTTCTTGGGTGTAAAGGTCCCCAGTGGGCTCTCTGTGGACTGTGTCAATAAAGACAGTCTTGCCCTAACAGGTTTGGCTCAGTGGATAGAGCATCAGCCTTCAGACTGAGGGGTCCTGGGTTCCATTCCAGTCAAGGACATGTACCTTGGTTGTGGGCACATCCCCAGTAGGGGGTGTGCAGGAGGCAGCTGATTGATGATGTTTCTCTCTCATCGATGTTTCTAACTTTCTATCCCTCTCCCTTCCTCTCTTTAAAAAAAAAAAATAATATAATATATATATATAAAATAAAGTCAGCCTTCCCGTCTCTGCATTTCCTATCTGGTACCTTTCTCCTGTGTTCCTTCAAAAATGACTGTCATTGTCTGCTACCCCAAATCCTCCTCATTTCCAGATCTGTGGTTGTCAAAGACAGTTGGCACACTGAAATCTGGCAGAGGAAGTCTTAAATGAGAGCGCATCTACAAATTTGGGGTACTGCCCAGATCGTGAGGCCTGTGTTTGGGATTTGGCCACGGAAGGTCCACGTTACCTGAGTCCAGATGTCTCCTGGAGAGCGTGAGCTTGAGCGGGTAGGCCAGCTCACAGTCCTCATTCTGCACCGGCTGCACTGCTCTGTGTACTGCTTCTAGTTTCTGGGGACCCTTGGAAGTGAAAGCGGTTGTTTCACTTCCTGGTTTTGTTTGGTCCTCATCCCTGGGCGTGGTCAGTGGTGATTTGTGACTGAGACACTTAGCCTGGGGCGTGTCCGTCTCCAGCAGCAGCTTGAGGGGAGCATCCTGCGTCTGATTCTGTCTGGAGAGTGGGAAGAGGAGGGAACAACCGGACGCTCTGTATCAATAATGCATTCATTATTTGTCTCCCAACCTATGGGGAGCCGGCACGGCCATGGCATACTCAGCCCCAGGGCGCCTTATGTGCCACGCCAGCTCAGCCAGGTTCAGTGACCCTGAGAGGGGGCAGTGAAGGATTGAGAAAAGACAGACAGGAGAAGAAAGCTGGGTCTGGGTGGGACTCTGCTCCTGGATGGAGAGACAGCGCCAGAGCCCACAAGCCGTGTCTTTATTTTATAGCCAGATTCCACGAGGCAAAATAAGGGCGTGGTCAAGATGTTTACAACATTCTTGTGGGTTTCGATCCTACTCAACAACATGCACCTGAACTCTATCAAGCCCACATCACTCAGGCACGTGGGGCCATGTGTTCGGACCATAGGTTCAAGCTTACAACCATAGCTGTTGGCTATAATTGTGCTGGGAGGGCTCTCCCTCCAAGCTGAGACTTGCACGTGGCCATGAGAGGACTGTGCCCTCTCATCAGCCCAAGCCTTGAACCTGTCCAAACCCTGTAGCCGCTCTCCACACCAGCCGTGTGTAAGTTTCTACAAGTCTGTCAGTATTGCTTCAGCTGTGAGTAGCTGGTCTTTAAAATACCAGCTGCTGGGGTTGCAAGGCAGGGGCTCCTGGGTCTGTTTTTGGCTCACCTGCCTGGCGTTGAAGGGCCCCTTGTTTTCTGCACGGTGACGCCATGTCCCAGAAGTGGGGCGCTAAATCTGTGCAGTCCTTCCCCACTTTTCTGCCAGAAGAGACGCTTGCAATCCCAGGGTATCTACCGTGTGTTGCCAATGTGTGGTTTTCATGCCTGGTGCTGACTGGAAGTAGCAGGTCATCCGTGAGAATGACAGCTGACAGTCGGAGGGGCCACAGGGAACGGCAGACCTGTGTGAGGTCCCTCGTCACTCGGGCCAATCCAGGTGGGGATGGTGGGGGTAGAGACAGCTGTGCACCTTTCGTACCCCAGGTGTCTCCCTGCTGATGACCTAGTCACCAAATGTCATCACAGAGGGGGGATGGTTCCTATCTTAGGTTTAAAGAGACAAGAAAATATATAGTAGATTTCATCTAAAGTGGTAACAGTGCTTAGTGTAGGGTTTATGGCAATAAATCTATGGCTTTTAGACAACTTAGGCCTATCTCTGCCTGAGTTCTAGAGCAGAGCTTAATGTAAGTTTCCCTTTTCACCAGCTTCTGGGGCCATTTGCTCCTTATGTCTATTTGATGCTGAGGATTCAGCCCTTCAAAACCAGTGCTGTAGTCCAGTAGCTTCTCGTGCTCACTCGGGTGGCGTAGAGGGACCGGGCGGAGAAATCTTGTTGGAGGGGAGGGGTAAGGGACCCTTCAACGCCAGACAGGTGAGCCCAAAATGGCCCCAGGAGCTGCCGAGGACTGGGCTTGCTGGAGTGTCTTCCACCCAGCTCTCCACCCTGCAGCCCCAGGCCCCTTGCTCTGGGACGCTCCAGACCTGGCAGACGGCTTCGGTCTCCTGGCTTCCGGGCAGCCTGGAACATGACAGGAGCCCATCCGATGCTTGTGTGATCTCTGTCTCAGGCATTCCACAGCCATGACAGGTAAGTCTGGCTCCCACGAAATCCCGACCGAACAGAGTTGCTGTTTCCGTGTGGGTGCTGGATGTGAATTAGCCCAGCTTGAAATGGTCAGAGAGGCGCGGCGCTCACCTGGTGACCTCATGCTGTTGTGAATTGTCAGAGGAACTGTGTTTCCACACTCCAGGCAACTCTCACGCCTGGGAGCCTGCTGTCTGTGTTTCTGGCCAGAACTTCCAGCTCTTTGCAGGGTATAGAGGCCCTTCTATTTCAGCATTTGCCAGTTTATGTGCAAATAAAGCAAAGTGTGACCACCCCTGGAACCTGAGTCTGAGGCCTGGCAGCTGGGGTGGGGCCTTTCCAGGCCAGTCTCGGGGGAGAGGGTTCTCACACCTCTTTCCTTACTGGGCCATGAAATATAGTTGC